AATATGTGAGTGACAATGTATGAATGTGTGCATTGAAATATGATAATATGAGAGCAGAATGTATGAATGTGTGAGTGTAAATATATACGTGTGTGAGAGTGAAAATATATGTATGTAAAAGGAGAATGTATGTGCGTGAGAGGACCAGTATGAATTACGGTCTGTACGGCCCCTCATACGTATGTGTTGAGCGTTTACCCGACCTTAACCTGGCGTATTTATTTGTTTTTCCTAGAATCCTTCAGTCTTGTCCACCTGACCATGGGTTTAATCAACTACGTCCAATCAGAAAGCAAAGGGGCGGAGCCAACTATCGACCAGCTGTCCATCAGTGTAAGTGATGGGTTGCACCGCTCCGCCCCCGTCCCCTTTTACATCATCATCAGTCCAACCAATGATGAAATGCCTTCCCTTCTGCTCGCCAACTTCACGGTACGTGCACCTCAAGACTAACTTTTCTTACTTTGTTTCTTTTAAGACAAATGTTTACCTTAACTTTATCTAACCTTATTAGTTTAGTAACGTCAGCCAATACTCTGCTAATGTCTATAGCAAGCTAATGTTGCTAAAATGTTTACATTAAGCTTTTTGATTTTATTTTCCTGCACTAACGTTAACTTCTTTGCTTACGTTTACAAACATATAAGTTAGGTTAAGGGTAAGTATGAGTATTGTTGACATTGGTTGAAATAGTGTAGGCCACAAACCTAATACTGGCAAGGAAACATTATTTGCATAGAAGCACGATAAACGCACATGAGTTTTTCAAAATGGGTCGTCTGATGGAGGTCGGCCTGTATCTGAAACATGTTTTCCTCAATCCAGCCTCATGGGGCGCTCTGTGGAGTTATCCCCATTCTTCATCTCCTGCAGGTGAACGAGGGCGGGATGAGGGAGCTGACTCCGTCTATTCTGAACGGTTTTGATCTGGACTCCCCCCTGGACACCCTGACCTTCACGGTGGTGCAGCCGCCGGCTCACGGGAGTCTGATCAACGGCATCTACAGCTCGGAGAAGAGCCGCTACACGGACACAGAAGCGGAGCTGCTGCAGAGGAGCCTCCCCATCACCTCCTTCACCCTGCAGGAGCTCCAACAAGGTGGGAGGGAGGCCAATCAGTCACTGTGACTAATAGTTATATCACCATATAGTGCCACATTCTCTAAAGGTAGATGTTTCTGTTCCACCGTAGTTAATTCAATTTGATATTTAAACTTATTTGTGCCTATAAATGCAGCGAGGCGGGCATTATTGAAAAAAGAACAACTGACAGGGTGATCACGGAGCATGAGACGAAGTGGAGGATCTTGATCAGCCTGAAGTAATTTTTTCAATAATGACCGCCTCGCTGCACATTATTACGGTTATTACACTGTCACCAAACAAAAGACTTGACTCCCTATATTAATTGAAATCATTTTATTGCATCCACTTAGAAAATAGAAACTCCGTTCCACGACGCACCAATGATTGTAATTGTGGCAACACATATTTGTGTAAATACTAGATATGTAAACTATAGAGGTTGCTCTGCGCGCACCCCCTGAAATTGTACGATTTCTACGTCTTTCCCCCTACTAGGTGGGAAGGTATGTGCAGCCTTCTTGCAGTGCAGACGCTTTTCTGCTTGCATTTGCCTCTGCTTACTTTTTTATGCTGTTTTTCTATTTTTCTTTTCTGAAAACTTCGAGCAGCGGCTCCTGGACATTCACTGGGACAGTTATTCTTTGTAAATAGATGGAGGGTTTCAGCCATATTTCAATGTGTTTACGACGACCTCAGTCTTACAGTAGCGTGGCCAAGCAACAGCTAAAGCCTGGTACTGCATGCTATTTAGCTTAAGCTAGTTAGCAGCAAAATGCCTCCGTTCTCTACAGATGACTTCCACAAACTTCTACAGAAGATGGCCGTGTTGGAAATGAAAA